CTCCCTCATGAGCCCTTGATAGTTTATAAATTGTTATTTTGTCATATCTTGCCCTATCTGATGTCTCCCTTCACCCACCTTTCTGGGGAGCTCTAACAGTTCTTACAACATTCCATACATCAATTGTATCAAGCACATTTGTGCATATGTTGCCATCATCATTTCTGAACATTTACTTTCTATTTGAGCGCTTGGTATCAGCTCCTTTTCCCTCTCCCTCCCTCTTTCCACCCTTGTGACCCCATGATAAATTATAAATTATTATTATTTTCATATCTTACACTGAGTTTTTTAGCTTTTGAAACACTTTGTTCTTGATTTTTATGGCACTTTGACTTACAGGTCTCATTCAGATTTTCTGACTATTGATAGATTTTAATTTGTGATATCTCCCAACACTGAGAATGTTTGTATGTGCCTAAGAGAGCCATAACAAAAAGTTAATAAGTTAATGAACTTGTATTTCACTATTTCTGCTAGACTGATTTGCATAAAATAAAATTGATTGCATAGAATATTGTTGAACATTATATAATAATAGTAACTAGCTTAACTTGCTAAGTTTTATGAGTGATTTCTCTTAAGTTTTTTGATACCAGGATGTATGTATATATGTATATGTGTACAACATTTATATTTCTTCCCAGAAATTTCAAGATATTGAAGAAACTCATCTCATTCACATAAAGGAAATTATAGAATCCTTGTCAAATGCTTTAAAGGAAATCCATTTGCAAAGGAGCCCAGCAGGCTAGTGAGAACCTAGTTTGGCTCTCGGTTTATTAATAGGGAAAAAAAATTGGACCCATGAGCTAAAAGAAGCTAGAATTTACACGGCATATTTGTAATTTATATTTATTACTGAGAATATGCATTATTGATATTGTGCCTTCTGTTTATGCTCACTTTTTTATCACCATTAGTGCATAGAGCTTTTGTTTATTTTATTTATTTATTTTTGTTTTTATTTTGTTTATTTTTAAAGAGGTGAGGTAGTTTATGAGACTGTACTTCAAGGGAAAAAACAATGTGAAATTTTGGCAGACCATATAGAGTGCAGCTTTACTCTGCAACATACAGAGTCACCATGGGGTAAGCTCCATGGACAAATAAAATTGCTGTAATTTGAGCTGAGCTACTACTTACAATATGAATTTGGAATAGATTTATGCTTCTGCTGAATAATCCTAAATTCTTGAGAATAATTCAGGCTTTCAAAATTTTAATATTGTCAGTGACGTGGTCAAAATTGATCAAAAGCTCTCCATTACAATTTTTTTAAATTGTGCTTTCGGTGAGCATTTACAGAGTTTCCCGTTCACTGGTTTGTACTTACAGTGCCCCATTGCATTGGTTGCTTTCCCTGTTTCTACCCTGGGTTCCCCATTCTGGGCCTCCTACCTTTGCTACCTTCTCATGTTTGCTTTTGAGCAGGTGCTGTCCTTTTGATTTCTCATAACTGATCTAAGGAGCACTTTTCTCTTGGGTGTTATTGTTTATTTCTTGGGCCTGTCTATTGTTTGACTGCAAAGCAGTGCTCAGGAATAGCTTTTATCCCAGGTCAGAAGATGTCTTAGGGCCATAATCTCTGGGGGAGGGAGGTGTTCCCTCATTTCAAGTCTGTTCTTTCTGATGAATAAGATTGATAGAAATTTTTGGACTATAGTTACATTACTGTCAAAACTGTAATTTAAGCATTACTGACTTTTTTTTAATGTCATGATATTTGCACAATTAATTTGATCAGTTGGCATTGTATTTTCTGATCATGTTACTCAGTGCTAAAGAAATTTGGACATTAAATGAAGGAATTTAATTTGACAAACTAACCAAAAGAAAACAAGGAAATTAGTCTCATTCCTTAAAACTGATTATTTGTTATTTGTTAAAAGATTGGGCAGATTCGTGTGATAGAAATGACAAGTGTATTGGAAAGTGGGCTAGTTTATTATTACCAAATGTTTTGAGGAATATTATTGTTTTGTGAAGTATTACTAGATATTCGGGGAAGAAGAAAAACAGTTGTGTGGTCAAATAAATTTGGAAAACAACTTTCATTATTTCAGTATTTCTGAGAGCTTTTGATATGTTTATTGTGAAACCAAGACTAAAGGTGCTTTTCCCCCTGGAGAATATAAGAATTAGTGGACATTTTCCCACACCACATCCTTCCCTTCCTGCACTTCCACTCTCCAAGTAGTGTAGGCTCGTGTGTTTTATATTTTGAAAGTGGCACCTCCCCAGTTGATTATGATTCAGACCTACTTTTGGTTGAGAGTTGCGGACTTTGCAGACTTGCCTAAATTTCTTTGAGCGCAGACTTAGACATTGTATATTCACATTTCAGGGATTATAAAGGCACATTTTGAATCCATCGGATAGATTGTAAAGTGTTAATAAGTAAATTGTAGATTTTATTCTACTAATTTGTTTTTGTAGGTTTTTTT